TTCAAAACTGTGTCTCAGTGTTCTAACATATGAACTTAGGCTGGTTATATAAATTTACATGTTTCCAAGAAGAATAGCAATTTTCTCTCTCTTGTATATCCATCTACCGGTCTATCTGTCTATATATAGATAGGCCTCTATAAAAGATGGTGAAACATACAATGCTATTATTTTAATCTCTAGCTTTGTTATAGTCATATAAACAGCTTATAAATAAGAAAATCAACAGTATTGCTTCAATCCTAAAGAAGTCCATTAAAATGGGCGATCAAATAAGAGAGTATTCTCCCTTAAAGGTTTTCATGATGATGGATATGAAGATAAGATTTTGATTATTAAGTTTCCCAAACTGGCATATGGGCATTTCTTCAAAGGAACTAAGAGAGGTACCAGGGTATTACTTTCTCATGATGCACTATGCTTGAGAGCTGTCAGTCATGTGATGCTTACCCAAGTGTACAATAAATTCCTGGAGCAGGAGCCAAAGCTTACTTGATTCACTCTGTTTAAATCAGCCATCCTGGCAAAAGGCCTGACATAGTGCCTCACACAGCAGCAGCTGAGACCCTTAAGAGTGTCAGTGGAGCAAAGATCTACTATTGCCACTGCTTATAGGCACACAAGATTATATATTTGTAGCATTTTTAAAATATTATCCAAAAGACACAGGTTAAGTCTTAAAAATCTGACATTTCAGAATCTATTAGAATTTTCCACTGGAGTGTCATGTTGCATTTAAGATATGAATCAAAATAAAATTGAAAAGCAAGTCCTTAGTCAGAGGAAAATATATTATTTTAAAACCACATATATATGCACATAGTTTAATGAAATTTACTGCATTTGGAAGTCAATGAATGGCTCTGTAAATGAAATAAACGATTAAAATATTTTGCATTGTTAAGTTTTTAATAAAAAAAAGCTTTTCTTTGTTGTGAAAAAATCCTGAAACATTTGAAGTAGGCAGTAAAATAGTTTAGAGTTATAATAAGATAGGACAACAACTTTCCTCAAAGCTAAGCTCTCTAAACTTTTTAAAGTTCTATCGTTATTCTTCATATAATCATTCATAAATAATTTAGAAATTTTTCTTGAACTATTATTTGTGAGATTATCTCAAATTACCATGCTCTTACTTTGTACAGGATATTAAATTGCAAGGTAGAATACAGGTAAGTGATAAAAAGAATAAAGATCTTAACATGATTTTTACAAATAAAGAAGCCCACTTGTTCACAGCTGGTATCTGACTTAAAGCAAGTTCGGATCACAGCATAAAGAAAGTTTAAAGTTAAAACCTTGTAAACTCGTAAAACACAAAAATGAAAATCAGGCTGAAGTGGATAGAAGCTACAATTAACAAATTAGTCTAAAATGAACTTTGGGCTTATGTAAACAAATAAGCAAACAAAATAAAAACAAGGAAAAATAAAGCAAATTATCGGTCATCCTCATCCCATCTACATACAAAAGCCATACTTTCATTTATTTATTCTTTTATTCATTCATTCATTCATTCATTCATTCATTCAACAAATAGGGATTGCTACAAACAAAGTTAGTGATACAAGCAAGGTTTCTTCTTTCCAAAGGTTTTATTCTAACTTAAACACCAAAAAATCAAATGGCCTACTTCCTCCACTTACGATATAATCAAGTGGTTGAGTTTACAGTATCTAAATTAAATCCCTACAGGTTTTTTATAATTTCCCATTGACTTTTCAACTAAAACCACAATGGAATTCTACTAAACTGATGGGCTGATTGTTAGCTGTTTAAAAAGTTTGCTTATTTGCAACTTAGCAAAACCCTTGAGACTACTCAACTCACAAGTAATACAGAGAAGGAAATGGGTTACCAAGGGATTTGTGTCTGTTACCAAAGCAATACAGAATAAACTAAAATAGAATAAAATAAAAATGCAGAAAAGCCCTATTAGAGACCTTCTAAATATGTTCATATATATGTGTGTGTGTGTGTGTGTGTGTGTGTGTGTGTGTATATATATATATATATATATATATATACATATTTAGTTTGTTTGTTTGTTTGTTTTTGAGATGGAGGCTTGCTCTGTCACCCAGGCTGGAGTGCACTGGCAAGATCTCGGCTCACTGCAACCTCCACAACCTGGGCTCAAGCGATTCACCTGCCTCAGCCTCCTGAGTAGCTGGGATTACAGGCACCTGCCACCATGCCCGGATAGTTTTTGTATTTTTAGTAGAGACAGGGTTTCACCATGTTGACGATGCTATCCTGGAATGGCTGACCTCAAGTGATCCAACTGTCTCAGCCTCTCAAAGTGCTGGCATTACAGGAATGAGTCACTGCACCTAGCCTATGTTCCTTGATTAATATCTCCAAGTCTGTTCAAGAAATATGACAATCAAATCACATGTAAGTGGGATATAGAGAAAATTGGCTGGGTTATCTACTATATTAAAAAAGACCAGAAGGAAAACACACATAGTGATTTATCTTTTCTCTAAAAGCATTTTGGACAGAGGTAACAATGAGGCAGTGGAGGAATCCTATAATTTTAAACAATGTTTTCTCCTTATTAGCTGTTTCATGAAAATGACAGGACAACAACATTAGAGAAACTATTTTGGTCAGATTAATATCTATATGGCCTGAAAATAGACTAAGAAGGTATCACCCACACTTCTGTTGCTTTGAAATTCAATCCAAAGATAAAGCTTAGCATTTGAAAATAAAACATACATGATTTTCTAATACTTTAGAATTTATTTAATGGTATGGTAAAACTATAAACTTGATAATATCTTGAGATGTGGAAATTCTCTAATCCGATAAAATTCTAAGAAAGTTGATTTAAAATTTTTATTTTCAAAAAAGTTGTATATCATTTGATTGGGTTGAAATAAATGGAACTTTGAGTTCAAAGTCTGCATGGTAAACAGGATGTTGTATATTTTTGAAAATGAGCTAGGTTGATTTTCCTCAAAAGCCAAGACTGAAACAAAGATTCAAATGGAAGTACTTTTTTGAGGGAAGTGATCCCTCAACACTGGGGAGAGGGTGGAGAAGTGAGACAGGAAAGTCAAGGGAGCCAACAATGGATGTAGTATCAAGCAAGTCACCTTTTTGAATCTCTGGGAAGCAGTGTAAACCATGTCTCCCAGTTTTCTCAGCTTTTGTCCAAGTAAACTAAGTATTTATTCAACTCTCAGTTCACCATGGGTTAAGGGTTTCTTAGGGAGCTTTAACTTGTCACATGCAGCAAAAAGCTGGCGGGCAGAGTCACAGGTGTTTCCACTAAACAGTCTTCAGTTGGCAGAGATGAGTACTGAGAGAATAAGGCGGAGATATTCATAGCATCTACACTAGGAGATACACGAAGATTTTCAAAATGAAGACAAGTAAACAGAGTGACTATCTTGGGATTAAAGTCAGAATAAGTATTTTTTTTTTTTTCTTAAGTAAAACATGGCAAATTTTCTCTACTTTGATTGACTTGGCATGAAATAAAACTCCTTTTTAAGTTGCAGACAATTTAGTTTGAGTATTGTTTTTTCCATAATGTTTATTTTAGAGTTTTGAAAGTAGTCGAAACTGAGATTGAAGCCGTAAAAATTCATTCAATCCAGGAAAAATCAAGTAGCAGATCTAAACAAGAGCGCAGAGTTGAAAACTAGTTTTATCAAAAATATCATTTATAATTTAAAATCAAAAGTTTGTTAATTATAAAAATATTTGCTTCAAGTTTGCTTTAAGGATTTCAAAGGCATAAAGTATTTCATCTGAATAAATTTGGCTCCCCTTTTAGCTTCATTTTTTTCCTATTATAGTTTTGACATTTTGACTTTTACTAAAAAAAAAAAAAAAACACTGTAGCAATCTAAGCCATCTTTATTTGTGAACTCTTGACAGATCTGAAATTAATCATATAGATACATCTATAATACACTCATAAATAGATATTTTCTTGCTTATATTTGGCTGATGTAGGCAGTTTTATTAATAATTGAAGATCAATATACCTATGACAGATTGCATCAATAGTGTTTAATTAAAATTATTTACCTAAAAATCAAGCAAAAACAATCTTAAGTGGCTGTTTAGTTAAATTTAGTTTCTCCTTTGAGTAAGCAGCTAAATTCTTAGCAGATCTACAGGATATTCTTGCTGAATTCGTGCTGATTTAAAGGTTCTTTATGTTAAAGAGCCCAACAGAAGTAGGTATACATCTATAGTAATTTTTAGAAAGTATAAAGTAGAAAAAATCACATATCCAAATCATAAGTGAACTTATTTGGTTTCTGTAGTCCAGCAGGAAAACAAACAGGAAAAAAATAGGCAACATATTTTGAAACTTAAAGTTTATTACAGATATGCAATTTATCACTAGACTTTATCCATGTTCTAAAAATCTACTGATGGAAAGTCATCATTAAGAAAATGAAGGTGAAGCCACAAATAGGCTGAAAATCTGTGCATATATATTTCTGACAATTTATATTCAAACCAGATAAAAGTTTCCTACAATTTAAATTGTCAAAGTAATACATTTTTTTAAACAGTAAAAACTGCCATGATGGTGAAACTAACACTGAATTTAATTTCAAGCTAGATATATCTAGAAAATTGAACAAAATGCAGATATCCTTCAACTTTCAACAAGGTTACGTCCTGACAAATTTGTTGTACGTTGAAAATATTGTAAATCAAAAGTACATTTAATACACCTAATTTACAAGCATCATAGTTTAGCCTAGCCTACCTTAAACATGCTCAGAACATTTACATTAGTTTACAGTTGAGAATAATCCCGTAAAACAAAGCCTATTTTATAATAAAATTATTATAAAGAATTTTGAATTAAAATTCAGAATATGGTTTCTACTTCATGTGAAACAGCATCATTGCTTAACAGCATCATAAAGCTTTCAGTGCACCATAAAGTTGAAAAGCTTTAAGTGTAAGGTGGGAGTTGGCTGTACATGAGTTGTCTGCACACATTGCACCATGGGTAGCACAGCACTCTGATCCCTGAAAAAATAAAAACAAAATGAACCCTAAAGTCATCCTAGCTTCTGAGTGGAGAGAATGTCTGGAATCCAAGTGCAGGAGAGGACACTTAGAAAAACAGCAATAAACTCCTTGATAATGAACACATTATGATTGTATTATCTGGTGACTGAGATGGCTATAAGTTGAAACTGTAGAGTTTATATGAAGAAGAAGAAAGTAATTTGGGGGATAATAGTCTATGTAATGTTTTATTTTATTTATTGAGATAGGGTCTCATCTGCTGCCCAGCCTGGAGAGCATTGATGATATCATGGCTGACTGCAGCCTCAACCCCCCAGGCTCGAGCAATCTTCCTGCCTCAGCCTCCTGAGTAGCTGGGACTACAGGCATGGACAGCAAATTTTTAAAAATTTTTGCAGAAACAGAGTCTCTCTATGTTGCCTAGGTTGGTCTTGAACTCCTGGGCTCAAGCAATATTCCTGCACTGGCCTCCCAAAATGCTGGGATTATAGGTGCAAACCACTGTGCCTGACCACTCTATAATGTTTAGATAACAAGTTTAGATAAAAACAACTATATTGCCAACAAAATACTTAAGTAAATATTTTTACATGAATCAATATGACAAATCAAAGCTGACAATTTAGTGAGTCAGAATCTGTAATTTAAATAAATTCTCCGACTGGAGACAAAAAATACAGAAAAATATATTTTAGAATAATATAAAATATTTAAGAAACTATAAATAAAGATAAGAATTAGTAGGTAAAACTGAGATAAGACTTTTTGCATAGACACAAGTTTGCCCTTGAGAGAGCTCATTTACTCCTGGGACTTTACCAATTCCAAATAAGCACAGGGAATACAAGCAATATTTCTGATAGACTTGTAGGATCAGGGAGCAAAAATTGGAGACTAGAATACACTAAGAGTAAAGGCTGGAGGGATGTACCCTCAGGGTAAGATGATAAAGAAGCAAACTAACCCTCCTGGGAACTGCTGTCCAGCTTCGGGTCATCTCGGTGGTCATTCCCACAAAAGTCTTATACTCAGAAACTGGATTTGAATGATCTTACATTACCATTTCCCTATACACCCCGTGAAAGCAAACATCTTGAAAAAAATCACACCATTCTTGCTTTAAAATTATTTCTTTTTAAAAATATTTTTTATTATTCTTTAAGTTTTGGGATACATGTGCAGAACATGCAGGTTTGTTACATAGGTATACAGTATACATGTGCCAAGGTGGTTTGCTGCACCCATAGACTCATCATCCACATTAGATATTTCTCCTAATGCTATCCCTCCCCTGTCCCCCAACTCCCGACAGACACTGGTGTGTGATGTTCCCCTCCCTGTGCACATATGTTCTCACTGTTCAACTCCCATTTACAAGTGAGAACATACAGTGTTTGGTTTTCTGTTTCTGTATTAGTTTGCTGTGAATGATGGTTTCCGGCATCATCCATGTCTCCGCAATGGACATGAACTCATTCTTTTCCTTAATTCCAGAGTCCATCACTTTAACAAAGAGAATCATCCCCATAAGAAGAAGAGATAATATGAATTGAAAATATGCGGAAATAGCCAACAACAGAAACAGATGCACAGGACCTCAGTTAGGGGAGTTATCAGAGACAGATGGCAGGAACTACGCTAAACATGTTTAAAGAGATGGATTCAGGCATGAACAATTTGGCTGAGAACTGAAAAAAATAAATGAACTCTCAGGTGAGAACAAAATTTAAAAGAATGCTAGAGCTAGAAAATATATAAACCAGTCAAACTATTAATTCAAAGGATGTGATTAACACCACTCTAGACATAATTGATGAGAGAATTAGTAAATTAACTTAGTCAAAATATTAATGAGAAAGCATGGAAAAACAAAATTAAAATAGGTGGCTAGCTACAGTGGCTTATGCCTGTAATCCTAACACACTGGGGGGCCAAGGAGAGAGGATCACTTGAGCCCAGGAGCTTGAGACCAGCCTGGGAAACATAGTGAGACCCAGTCTTTACAAAAATAAAATAAATAATTAATTATCTAGGTATGCACCTGTAGTCCTAGCTACTCAGTGGGCTGAGCTGGGAGGATTGTGTGAGCCCAGGAGGTCCAAGGCTACAGTGAATCATGATCTTGTTATTGAACTGCAGTCTGGGTGACACAGCAAGACTCCATTTCAAAAAAAAAAAAAAAAAAAGGTAAAAGATGTAAAGATGCTATGTGAAGGTGTGTGGTCAGTAGCATTATTTTTAACAGTTAATTTGTAGACCTTCTTTTGATGGAATTATGCTTCTTGATCTTGCATGTAAACTCAGTTTGTGACTGACTTTGGACAACAGAATTTGATCAGAATTAACATTTATTATTTCTAACCAGAAGTTTGAAGAGATAGGACATGGCTAAAAAGCTAGTTTTGCTTTATTCCTCTAACACATTCCCTCTTGTCACCATTACATTAAATAAGCGCATTTCTTAACTAAATAATTTGTCCCTTTTCTCTTTCTTACAATTTATCTCTTTTCTTATCCTCTGAGTTTTTAAGGAAAGCCTCCTTTCTGATCTCTCCTGCCCCTGTACTTGTGATCACAATTATATAACAATCTTGTTTACATTTCTAACAGTTCACCATTATCGAAGTAATTTTTAATTTCTTGTATACCTATATGTGTATATAAAGTTTTGGATAATATCTATTATCTTTATAGTTTTCTTGGGTTTCAACCTTTGGAGAAGGAATGAATAGCAATGAGTTTTTAATCTACAAATTATAACTTCATCATACCTACCAGCTATTAAAAAGAGTTTACAAGTCATTACATTCTGTTTGAAATGATTTTATGGGGGAGACATGAACAGGCTGCTTTGAGCACTATTTACCCAACCTTATTAATAGCTTTCTATTTTATTCATCAGCTAGAATGTATTTCACTTCTTCAGAAACTTGTAATATATTCATATATTGGCAGTGATACCTGACATTTGCTTGGAAAAAACATAAATCACAAAAAGATGTACGCATAAACAAAAGGCTGCAGGGTATAGCATTGTCACTGTCTCTCTGTCTCAATTAAGAGAGAACGCTTGTCATATCCCCTTTTGCTTTGTGGATGTTGACAAATGAATCACAGAGTAGAAATGCTTTCTCAATTATAAAAATAATGTCAATAAGTATTTTTCATAATTATTTTTTATTGGAATTATTTATGCTAATATTGATTACATATGCCTGATATTCTATGAAAACTATTTTTTATATCTTAGCATTTCTCTTCCCTATACTTTTTCCCCTTCTTTTTCATTATGTTGGGATTAAAAAAGAAGCAGGTGTTTTTTAAAAACATTTATTGTAGGGAAGCATACATGCATGGTAATAAATATGAACTTGAAATATTCCAGGCTGTCTATATTTGAAATTAGGAGGGTAACCTGACTTTGTGAAAAAAATGTTCACACAGATTATTGAAAATAGAACACTGTATATTGAATTTAAAAAATATGTAAAGAAAAATTTATGTAGAATAGAGAAATGCTGCTGCATTTTTCACTCACTTGGCTTGTATTCAAATTCCATCTATACTATTGATTACAAAAGCCCCTGTGGAAAAATTGTGTCATATGTATTATTTGACCCAGATAACTTTCCTGCAAAATGTGGGATGTGGCTTAACTAAAATTTTTTATCTTCCAGCTTGGTAATTTGTAACATTAAATTAGTATTGACAGTTTTATAAAAAATATATTCTTTGCAACCGAAAGGCCCATAAAAGTTGACTGGTTAAAGAAAATGTGGTATATATAGAGTATGTAATATTATACAGCTATACAAATGAATGACATTATGTCCTTGGCAGCAACATTAATGGAGCTGGATGTCACTATCCTAAGTAAATTAATAAAGGGACAGAAAACTGAATACTACATGTTCTTACTCATAAGTGGGAGTTAAACATTAAGTACACATAGATACAAAGAAGGCAACAACAGACACAAGAGCCTGATTGACTGTAAGGGTAAGAGGAGATTACAGTCTGAAAAGCTACCTATCAGCTATGCTCATTGTCTGGGTGACAAAATAATCTGTGCACCAAACCCCAGAACATGTAATTTACTCATGTAACAAACTTGCACACATAACCTCAAACTTAAAATAAAAGTTGAAAAGAAAATGTAGTCCAAATATACCATGTAATTCAATGCAGCCTTAAAAAAGAACAAAATCATGTCCTTTGCTGCAACATGGTTGGACCTGGAGACCAAAATCCAAAGCAAATGAATGCAAGAACAGAAAATCAAATACATGTTCCCACATATAGCTGAGTGCTATGCATCAAGCATACATGGCCATAAATATGGGAACAGTAGACATTGTGAATTACTAGCGTGTGGAGACAAAGCTGAGTTAAAAAACTGCCTAGCAGGTACTATGCTCACTACAGGCTGACAAGATCTGTACCCCAAACCTCAGCATCATGCAATAGTCCCATGTAGCAAATCACACATTTATCTCTGTATGTAACTGTTGAAATTAAAATAAAATAAAATCATAAAAGTATATTATTAGTATATAACAAGCATTCATTATGTACTGTCTCATTCTGTACTTAAAACAAATATAAAGACAGGCACTATTTCATTTCAATTTAAAATAGAGAACTTGAGGTTAAAACAAGTAATGTCCACAAATTACAATGTCAGGAATATCACTACCTAAATCCAAGAGCCTAACTCATGAAAATGTTTTTATATTTTAAAATGCAGTGGATCACAGCAATTTGGAATCCCCTTCCCTACTTTTTTTGCAATCACTAAAATAACCACTTAAATAGCTGAAGCATGAAGGCAACTACAGGTTCCTGTAACCAGGCAGGGACAAGTTTAATTTCCATGTGATTTGGTTAAGGGTTCAATGTATATCTCTAGAAACTACATTCTCACCATGGATTTATTAGCTGCTCTTTTTTCACAATTGATTCCGTTCTCACTTCTTATGACTACATTCTTTAAAATTTGAATACATCAGAAAAAATAAATTTCTCAAAACTTCGTAATATCCCTTATGATTAAAATGGCTTTGATCACAAACCAAACTTGAATCAGTCAGTGTGGACAGGAGATTGGTTGGCTTAGTCTGGGTCATGCATTCTGCATCTGTGCCTGGCCTAATAGTGGATAAAATACATCCCCAAGTGAAAATTGAGGCTGTTATCAGAAGAAGACAGAATTGATTCTAGAAATCAAACAAAATTTTATTTAAGTGGACATTTTAATTATCATCCACCTGAATTCTATTGTTTTTGTTTCTTAACAGAACTCACATTTCACACAAGATAAACTATATTATTTATTATAGTCCAGGCTATTGAGTGGAGGAAAAATAGATAATTCAATTCCTATATCAAGTAATATAACTTATTTGGGCCTTGACTAGCAAAGCTTTGCATGCTCCAGAGGACAACGCCTGAATTATAAAAGAGTGTGAGATTTGAAAAACTGAAGAAAATACATGAGACCTAAAATAGTATTCCAAGAACTAAAAACATTAAAAAAAAATTGAAATAAAATTTTAAAATAATAATATTTAAACTGATTAAAAATTAAATGTGATATGGGAACAATGTTGAAAGAAAGTAATCAGAAACATTAGATGAACTTGAAATGAAATCAAGTAATAAAAATTTGTTAATAAAATTAAAAAAATAAAAAGATGTTTGATTGATTAACATATGATAAAATACAGCTTAAAATAGAATTGGTGAATTGGAAGATCACCGAAATGCATCATAGACAGATAAAAGTACATACCGTATTATAAAATATAGTTAAGAGATTTGGAATGTGAAATTAAAGAATCTGGCATATAGCAAATAAGAATTATACAAAGTGAATATAAGGAATCTCAAAGATAATAATCAATATCTCAAATGAAGATATGTTTTAAGATTAAGAAGCATGTTAAAAACCCCATATCTAGATATATTATAGAAAAATTTCATACCTGAAAAACAAATAGAAAATATTAAAGAGATATATTAAAATGGCATGTATCAAAGGAAGAGTAGAGTCACAGAATGCTTCTCATCAATAATAGTAAATGTAAGAAGGTAATAGAATGACATATTCAATAATTAGCCAAAAGTATGCTTAGCTAAACTAATATTTAAGAAAATAATTTTTAAAACTTAGAGAAAGTCTGACTATTTATAACTAACAATTTGTCTCTGAAAAAATAATAAAATGTGGGTTTCCCAGGTTCTTCCACTTTTTCCTACTGTCCTAAATGAGAAGCACAGAGTACTTTGACTACTCTGTGACTGGGCCAGCTGTTTTTCACAGCAGGTTTGCATCCAAACCGGAGGCTTGAATGTTTCCAGGCACTGATAAAGATGTTTAGATTGTTGCCCCAAACACTGAAAGAAACTAGCCCCAGCCCTAAGCAAAATTTCATAAACCCCCTATATACTGCATATCCTGATCCCTTGCTGCGGTCACACCTAGGTAGCACTTCCTCTTTTGCGATCTGCTGGGAGATAAGCTGCAGCACTAAGTACATTCCCCCAGTAAGTACTTCCACTGATCACCCTCACGTTTAGTGCCTCTTTCTCTTCTGCAAACAATATGAAATATATGCTAATATTCCACATACAGATTTTTGAAAGTTATTTCCTCTTAGGAATGAAGGAGAATGGGATTAGAAAATGGAATAAATATATGTGTTAATGTTTGTGTGTGCATTGATGTAGTTGTATATATATAAACAAATTTCTGTCAAAAGTAAAGTAGGTTTTACATGAAACAAAGGTTCTAAATTTTAAATCTACAGATTTTTTTAACGAATTTGATTTGTCTGTAATATAAGTGGATATTCCATTATTTACGTCATAGAGTGTATTTTATAAAACAACTGCTAATTAAACTGCTGACAACAACTAAATTAACTATGAGGAAATCATAGATTTAAAGTAATTCATCATAATTTCATTGTTCTTCATGTCTATTATACATAAATTTAAACTGAAACTATCTATTTATAGATCTTGCATCTCTATCTACCTCTATCAAATATGATGGAGTGGAGAGTGTTATGGAGAAGAATTTCTTATTTTTTCAAGAGTATAATTAAACACTATAAATCT